CTCCGAACAAAACAGAGTCTCTTTTATAGGATCTTGAAACGGCGGTTGCGGCGTTTTAAAAATCCGATTTTTTAAATATTTTTTTGTCATTTTCATTTAAGGAAAAAAAAACAAAGTTTGTTATTATTATTAAAAAAAAATTATACCACTGGAAGACGGTTTAGTCTAACCTTTGACCTTAAAAATTTAATAGCGTAATTAAGGGTGGTTAATTGGTGTAATTAAATTCTTAAAAACCTTTCTACGAGAATCTCTTGTCCGCATTTTAACCACAAGGGTGTTTTGGTCATTTTCTAATTAAGTCGGTATGTAAAAAAGTTTTAGACCGTTGCGGTCTGCAATTTTTTACTTTTGGTTTTTAGCAGTCTCTAGTCTTTTTCTACTGCATGGTATCTGACGTGGCAGAGACGACAACATGGGATGTTACTTCAAAAATCTCCCATTCTACTTGTGTGTCTTTTTCTCACTTTTTTTTGCATCATGGTATTAAATTTTATTTTTTGGAGATTGTATATATTAAATTTGATTTTATTAAAGGTTATCTTTGTCTTTTTTAACTTTTTTTTTTAGAAAACTCTCTCTTTCACACTGCATATTTTCACGTGAGTGTGTAAACCAGAGAAAACAAAGTGCCTTTAATTTTTCTATTTTTGGCGCTTTTAACGTGGACGGTGTTTTCCTTTTTCCAAGATAATAATAAATGGTTACATTTTTCTACAAACAAAATAATTAAATGTGTTGAATTATAGTATAGTTTTCTCAGATCTTTGAGCGAATTATAGTAGTATAGTTTTCTCATAATCGTTTGGATCTTTAAGCAACCAGTTGTTAATCTAAAACAGTATAATTTTTTCATCTATAAACTAGTGTTATAAACTGTTACAATACAGTATAAAATTATAAAAGATTAATTCTAAAAAAAAATATACAAATAAAGTTAAATATAACGCTTTTGTAAAAATTTTAGTATTGTTACCATCTAAAAGTACAAATTATAAAATAATTATAAATTTATTAATTTTGTTACCAATCAAACACGTTAACATTATCGAAACATGGAATTACAAGAAAAAAACATATTTATATCATTATATGTGATATAAGATGGTGAAATCATCATACCACGATTCTATAGCATAATTTCAAAATTACATTATGTTTAAGTGTATATGTTTTATGGATATTGGAATAAAACTCATACATTCTTCTTCTTTT